ATTGCAAGCTGACTTGTCCACATTTAGAGGGTGGTAAAGGTAAGAGGGATAACAAAGAACTTGCATATACACTGGGAACATAGGTGGAAAACCTATTAATCACTAACAATATGCTTGACAGTAAGCAGGAAGCAAAATACAGGCAGCTTGTGACTTAAGGAGTTGACATAGATCACAAAAACTGGTAAGACTGCAATATGGGAGGTGAAAGCGTAAAAGGAATTGACCATACTGAAGATCGGAAACAGGAGATGAGCAGTGTGCCCTTATGCATAATGACAGTACAGGAGTGTAGTGACCAGCATGCCGAGAATGTTGCTCCAGCGTAAGTATATGTAACCCATGGGAAAAACCATGTTGTTAAATTGAGCAATGACTGGGCTCTAGGAGAAGAAATTCGGTTGGGGGGGATTGGGGGAGCTACTGGCCAAAACTCCTCAGAATTTAACAGTCTGGCAGTGCGTGTTAGCTGGCTGTAGTCTCTGATGTGTCAACAGCTGCTAGCTGCACTCCGCATTGTTTCATTCAAATGCATCGTGGAAAACTCAGAGGTGGCCTCTTGCTGTGGAGTAAGCGAAAATCAATTAGCCAGTGCTTTTCTGTGGCTGCTTGCAGCAGCATTCAGGCAAGTAAATGTTTTAGTGTTTTGTTTTGTATTGAGTTGATGTTTGAGAGATTTAAGACCGGTTTTTAAGAAGCAAAAGGAAGGCTTCGAATTTGATATTCATTGATGTTTATACAAAGTGTTTAGCTCAGTGGCTGCTTTCCAGCATGATTTCAAAGGGATTTCCATCAAAGTAGATGTTGTAGTTAAAATTTTACCTCCATCCAGCCTATATCCATAAGCTTGAATCTTGGGATTTTTATGTATCCTCCATTACGTTGCTGTAAATGGAGGTACAGTGTGGCATCACCTTGACGTTAAGTTGCACTATGGAGTAAGCAATGATAATTCTGATTTCAAAATAGCCTAAAATTGACTATACTGAGTTAGACTCTGTGCTCGTCTAGACTAAGGGCCGGGTTCCAACAGTGACTGTAAATGGATGCTCAAGGGAGAAAAGGACTGCAGTTAAGTGCGTATGATACCAATTAACTTGTGGAGATAACATACTCTACTGGTGCTTGTACAACTAAGGCAAGAAACTGTCTGCAGTGCTATCCAGCTCCGTTGGGACAGTCTAGGATCTGATTCTAGTCATACTCCACATCGGTTTTATCCTATTACTTTAATTCAGGTTTTGATGAATCAGAAACTTACCTGTGCCGCTTGTTTCATGACAGTATTTACAGCTTGAGCTGGTATGTATACATGTATGAAATACAAACCTTGAAACACGTGAACAATGCTGAATTTAGGTGGAAAATAAGAGATATTTCCAGACATCTTGTTTCATGAGACATCTCGCTTTACATGGACTCTTGTGTCTGGTAGGCAGTGTACTGTTAGCTGACTGCTGTACCTGAATGTAGCAGTCACTACTGCACTGTCACCTGCTGCAGGGCCAGCTCATCACTGTTTAAAGGTGGCTCCTTTGGAAAGTGCTAGGGTTCTAATTTCCAGGAATGCAGGTGGTGCATCTGTGTGTGATGGGATGGCAGTGTATGTTAGCTGGTTGAAGTTTTGACATCAACTAACATGCAGTTGCTATCCTTTTCCACATGCCTTCATCATCAAAGTGGAGAGCTATTACTTTTGTATACGCAGTCTTTTGGGTCCACCTGATTATTGCTTTTTTTGACTGTCAGGCCCATTTTTGGTATTATAACAGGATCTTGTATTTCTGTTATCAACTGTTATCCAAAGAATTGTGAGAATTTCTGGTTTATTCAGGTTCAGGTTTTTATCTGCTTTTAGATACTAAGGTAACAGGAGGTTTATAAATACTTGAAACAGGCAAATAATTCAAACATTTCAAACAATGCAGTTAAAAACTTCACTTGAGATTTAAAGTTTGATTTTAATTTTTTTATAATGACATTTGAAAATGCAACTTGGTTGGTTTTTTTGGGGGGCAGGTTATTTTTTTTTAAACTGGGTCATTAGATGCTGGAAAGGCTTCAAATAACTTTTACCAACTGCCTGAATGCTATATCTGAAAAATAATAACCTTTCCATTCTATAAAAAAAGAGAAGTCAACTTTAGTGTTTTTCTTCTCTGCTTGCTTCTCAGAGTTAATTTGTGAACAGCAATACATTAAAACAACTACACACAGTCACCAACCAGGAGACACAATTTGAATAGGACATAATATTATACTTTGGAAGAATAAAGGCTGGAAGCACAATGATCCTTCTGATTCATGTTACACTGGAAGCTTCTATCAAACATACTGCCACAGGCAACAGAGTATTACCTCTATCCTGATCCTGGCACTTTGGGCACTTCGAATGCAAAAGAAGCTCTTTGTTATTACTTGCTTTATCTGGGTGCTGCTATATGTGCCTTGCAAAGTGAAGGTCTCTTAGGAGGAGAAATAGGATTAATGTTTGTGAAGGTCTGCAGAATTAGTGTGATCCTAGAGTTGTGTGTGGTGATGAGGCAGTGTATTGTTAGTTAGCTGTTCTTCATACACCAGCAACTGACTACACTGCCACATTAGCACATCACTGTTGAGACAAGAATATAAACACCGTTATTATAAATGTCTCACTGGATCCTTAGCTGGTATGGGGCTCAATGACTGCCTAGTTCCCCTGACTTGTCTTGGTTTCAGCTAAGAGTTAGTTTTCCTCATAGAAGCTAGTATGAGGCTATGTTTTTTGGATTTGGGATGAAAATAATGTTGATAATGTGCTGATGTTTTCAGCTGTTGCTAAGCAGTCAAGGACTGTTCAGTTTCTCACCCCACCCTACCAGTGAGTAGGCTGGGAGTGCACGGGAAGCTGGGAGGGGACACAGCTGGGACAGCTGACCCCAACTGACCAAAAGGGTATTCCACACCATACAACATCATGCTCAGCATATAAAGCTGAGGGGAAGAAGAAGGAAGGGGGGGATGTTCAGAGTGATGGCATTTGTCTTCCCAAGTAACCGTTACATGTGATGGAGCCCTGCTTTCCTGGAGGTGGCTGAACACCTGCCTGCCCGTGGGATGTGGTGAATGAATTCCTTGTTTTGCTTCGCGCGTGTGTGTGGCTTTTGCTTTACCTGTTAAACTGTCTTTATCTCAGCCCACGAGTTTTCTCACTTTCACCCTTCTGATTCTCTTCTCCATCCCACCGGAGGGGAGTGAGTGAGCAGCCGCATGCTTAGTTGCCAGCTGGGGTTAAACCATGACAGACTGAAAGGAGCTGTGCTAGATTATGCAAACTGAGTGAATGTAGGGTATAAAAATAAGTGTAACTGTGTTCAACACACCTAGCTAATTCAACTGCTTTCTAAGTAACGTACTAAACCGTGTAAGCAAGAGTTTCAGCTTTGGGCCCTATGTGAATATGTTTCTTTTATACCACTAAGCGTTTACTGGAGCATTGGTGTGTGGGCTCAGCAAACAAATATTTTCTGATAATACTTGAATTAACAGGGACATGTCCAACCAGTGACCGAAATAGATTTAGACTATTTGCACTCCCAGGCAATTTTTGGAAAGCGGAGCTGACAGTTAAACGGTATCTGTTGGAGATAATGAGGATTTGTCAGACCTAAGGAGTGAGGGAAGCATGAGATAGGAATGAAGGAAGTGTTGGGATGAAGGATGCAATAGATTATGATCAAATGGAGTGGAAGAAACTTTAACACTCATGGACTGAACTCTGTTAACCTTCTTAAGGGGGCAGTTTTATCTTAAATTGGTGGGATTATCTAAGAATCCAATAAATAGGTTTTAAACTGTTTATAGCATTCATAGCTTAGTATTTTTTTTATATGCTATATCCTACATAAACTGTAAGTGGATATTTATACAAACTTGTATTCATATTACTTTGTTGGCTTTTGACTATAGATAAATGTGTGCTTGTGTAACAGTGTTCTAACTTTGATTTTATTCATTTGCCTTTACAAATCTGTGTAGATTTGGCAGTTAAAGATGCTTTATTTTTACCCTGGATAACCGGTAATTTGGATTTAAGAGAGTGATTAGTTTATCAGTGATCTGCCCTAAATATTACATTGGAAGAGCTGGTATGTCTTATGAAGAATAAGTAATACAGTCATATGTAGTTTTTAGAGTTAAATGTTAATTAACAGTAAACTTTGAAAAACTTAAAATCTCTGTAGATCCGGGACTTGAATGCTACCTGTATTCAAATTTCTACAGAAGATGGTTGTAGTGAATTGCGATCAAATGGTGAAATAAGAAATTCAATGACTGTTTTTTCAGGCAAAACCTTTTTCTAGAAAGATGTCTATGAGAGTGCCAGGGTGTTGATTTTTGTTGCCTCTTGAATCCTGCTGTAAGCAGCCATGTATATTCACACAGGCCCTGCCTTCATCCAGGTCAGAAGACTGGCAATCCAGCAAGAGATGAGCTCACAGCTGTGAGCTCTCATACAGTGCAAATGTATGGAGAAGGCTAAAGAGGTTAACAGTGTTGCTGTAAAGGTAAAATGAAAAATTAATCAAAATACAAAGCAGGCAGTGAAACGTTTCTGCAATTTTTTCTTTTAATAATTTTACTTTCTATGTACAGTTTTTTACAACTAAGTTGACGGCTTCACAATTCAGTAATCTTCCTCGAGAAGATATTGCAAAGCCTGTATCTTCAGTTGCAGTTGACCCCAAAAACCCTGGTATTATGCCTCTGGGCCATGTCTTTCACTCAGGGCAACTATGTGTAATGGAATATAAAAATCTATTTGTTACTGACAGAAGGGAAATAAAACTCTTCTGTGCAAATACTGAGTAATTTATCAGCAAATCCTCTTCTTTTTAGCTATCTCCCTGATGGTGACAATTGTAATTAGCTATTGTCATAAATTTAAAGAAACATTCAGAAACTTTATGTAAATTGAAAGTCCATGCCTGCAAGGTACTGAGTGCCTTGCCACTCTCAGTAACCTCAGTGGTTCTCAAGGCTGTTGCAGGAGCCAATCCAACATTAATAGACATTGTGTAGCTGAAAACACTAACACCAAAATGAAGTAAAATCACCGCTGGTTTAACTTCTAGCAGCATTTCCCAGGAATGTAGTAACGTTGTGTACCCATACTGTTGAATGGATTCACAGCATGAATGGCTTTTTCAGAGGTCCTCTTTTTTTTTCATGATAATCTGCCTGATTAATGATGTTACTTCAGGCTTGATACTTTCTATGGGCTCTTCAGGTCTCCAGAATTTCACAACTTTACCCTCAGGGCTGACAAGGTACTTCCAGAAATTCCACCGAGGCTCTTTCTTTGAAGAATCTGTAAGAATGGCATAAGATCGTTTTAGTGGCTTATGCTTGTAATTGTTTCATTACCCTGCAATGATTCTTACAACTATTTATGTTGAAGTAATCCCACTTCGTTCTTTACTAGTGGTCTGGGCATAGATTTACTGGTTACTGTTAATGATTTGAAAAGTGGGCAGTGAATGATGCTTTTCCCTTCTTGTGAAACTGTTTAAGCGTTCCTATTTTTACTGTGTTCTGCTTTCTGGGGAACAGGATATGAGGGCTGCATACTCATTTGAGGAATCCCCAGTTTTATGTCAGTTTAGGGGAAGTGAAATGGGAGCAGGAAGTCATACTGGTGATGGCTTAATTCATCTCCTTTCATTCCATGAGGCAAAACCTTACTGATATCTTTGCTATCATGGATACCTGACAAGATAATTTCTGGGATCAAGGGGCTATCAGGAAACTTCATGGATCTTAGAAGAGGCAGAAGGAGTTTTGGGAAATATCTTTTTGAGGAAAGAACTAGAAGAAAACTCCAGGAGATTTTGACTGAGGAACAGGTGTCCAGTGGGGAACAGTGCTGAACCCTACACTGACTCTTAGAAGCAATGGGTTGAATTTTGCCATTGGATTACATTTGTAATGTCATGACTGTAAGGGAACACCATGGCAAGCAAATGGGTATGGTAAAGCACGTGTCATGGAGGCTCTGACCCAGCTAGTAATTATGTCTTTGCTGAGTTGTATCTAGGATCAGTCTTGAAGTAACATATCCCATCTCTGAATATTCTTCCAGTGTACATTAATGCATATGGAGTAGCTCATACAAAGTACAAACTTGAAGAAAGGTGGGGCCACAAACCTTGCATTGGTCCAACAAAATGCCTTACTGCTATGAAAGCAACAAGAAGCAATTTTGGAAAGGCCTTGGCAGCATGTTTATGCTGCCAGGGGATTCTTTTTGTACTATACTGACAGTGCTGGACAAATTGTAGCTAGCAGTCACAGTCACAAGGGGGTGCAGCATGAAGGTGTTCAACCTTCTGATTGTCAAGACAGCTATATGCAGAAAACAGATGCGTCTTTAATTCAAGATGCACAGTAATTTCATGTGAAGCAAAGGAATGCAGGAAAAGAAAGAGGTTTCAAAATATTTAAGTACCAGAGGATCTTTCTCCTTCTTGTGGGTGAACAGCATATCAAATAAGGACCAGCTGAGTGAATAAGGCAGTTCTGTTTCTGTAGCAGTATTGATACTGATTGCACTGGTAGAATCTGGATTCATCCCACCCAGCTGTTACCTATGTGCTCTAGGGTCCTCTATAGTGAACTGAGAGACACCTCCAGAGTGCATTCAGTATTCCACTGGACATCAGGCAACTCAGAGCAATGAGTCTTTACCTGAGGTCTTTGGTGACATGCCTAAGGGGAGGTAGGAAGAAACACAGTTACAGTGAAAATGATGAGTGCTTAAATGACTCCTAAATGATAATAATTTTCAAGTACCTAAGAGGTATCACAGAGGCTATGGCAGGAAGTCACAGGCTTAAGTGTAAGGAGGATTTCATTTACGTGTTGAAATAGCTTTTTGACAAGAGTAGCTGTGAAGAACTGGAACAGACTGGGAGGTTTTGGAATCTCTCAGACTGTAATAGTCTGGACAAGCATGTGTAGTCCTGATTTGGGTAAATGTGATCCTATCTGGGGACAGGGAGATGGAATACAAGTGTGGGCCTTCTACCTTATTTTCTAGTTAAAATGATGTGATAGAGAAAGGATGTGTTCTAATTATTCTTTCATATATCAGTGTCTAGTATGGGTCAAAGACCTGGCCAAAGCTCAGGAAAATTCAGAGAGGCTTTTCAAGTTGTGTTTGGGTCTGTGGGCTCTTTGGTCAACTGAAGAGGATTTAATTTTGCTTGTGAGAGTGTGAGGCTCTAAGTCAGTCAATGCTTACTGTAAGAAGAGTATTTGTGTGACTGGGTTTTGCAGGCTGGGCCCCGAAGTTCACAAGACAAATTAATGCAAATCCATGATTATATATAACTACAGTATATATAATCCTCCTTTACAATACAGTTTACATAAAGGTGGACATATGACTCTGCTAAAACAGGAATTTTATCATCTGCATGTGTTTATGTAAAATCTTCCAGTAATTTTAAGACCCCCAGCTGTTACATTTTTGTCCATGAGAAAAGTTTATTTTTCAACAAAAGCCACACAATTTGAAATGGGATTTTGTAGGTGGGAGTCTTTGCACTCAAGTTTATACATCCATAGAATGGATGTTTTGGGCTGGGCTGGTCACAGTGGGCTGTTTTTTATAATCAGTGGGAAGAACCGGATGCCTTCAGGCTACAACTCTTCTGACAATTTTGTGGATATACATGTTGAAATGAGATGAATTGTATGCTGAGTGCCTGTTTCTCTCCATAGACCATGAAGACTATGATGTTTCCTCACAAACAGATTGGAATTTAGAGAAAATACCGTGGTTGCAGGCAGCTTGTTATGTAAAAGAAAACAATTACCTATTAGAAATTTAAAGGCAGGCTCTGCTTCTGATCCTAGGATCTTGATTTTGTGGAAAACAGGGAAGGTTACTCCATAGTTTCCTCTGGCAAAAGATTCTATTTCCTGGCTTGAACTAGGCTCTGATTCTCCAAACTGGTTGCAGGGAAAAGCCAGCACAGTGAAGTGGGAGGGACCAAACTCTCTGTGTAGTTCTTGCAGTGCGATGTAATTTTTGTCTGTGTGTTGGCAGTAGCTGGCCACGTTTACAACCAAAGTTGCCTTCAGAGAGATAAAGTTATAATAGTAAGAAAAAAACCCTAAAGATGGTGTAGCGATAACAATTAAGTCTTAAAATGGCATCTCCTACTACCACAATCATTTCTGCCTGAAGGCTAAATTTAATCTATCTGATCATAGTTTCATTAAACAGAGAAGGATGATACCAGCTTAAGATACTTTCAGACAACCTGTTCTAAAAATCCAATAAATGGATAAACTTAAACTTACAGCTTTGTTTAAATACAAGCATGTAAAAAAGCAAGTATTTAGGACAGGCACTAAAATCATGTTTACTAGATCAACTTCCTGAATTGAACACAATATGCTGCCATCCTTAACTAAGATTAAAATGCACAAATTTTATTGTTAGGTGATAATGATTTACAACACAGAATGTAAAAAAGACATTTTTCTTGATTTATTACATCTAATACTTAATTCCTGGAGCAGGCCAAGCTGAAATAAATTTCTCCACCTTATTGTTTGAAGAACAGGAATTTAGCACAAATCTCTGCTGAAAATTACCATGACCAAACTTTTTGTTAACCTGCAAATGGAGAGTTTTTTTCAGTAAAGATTCAAGACAAAGTTATAATGAAATTGTAACTTACTTTCCCTCTGTACTTCTCCAAGGAAACAATCCTTCCTCGTGAATCCTTGACTTCAAAAGAGTAAAAATCTTTGATTTTAGGTGTAAAAAATCTGAGTTGCAGCAGGCAGAGAATGGCGGTACACAAAACCATCGACAGAAAGACAACAAAGACCCTGGCTTTGGGCACTGAGTATTTCAGAGTGTAAGTAGTTGTGAGAGGCTCCATTTTCGAAATCTTTGGAGAGGAGCCTGGGCAGGCCTGGAATGCGAAGGAGGAGCTGAAATACGAAACTTGTGGCTTGGACTGGAAAGAACAATCTGTCTCATATTGTGGCTGTTTAATTTCACAGTGTATCTGCTGGTCTTGAGAGCTCTTGAGTGACGTACAGAAATCTCTCTGGCTGGGAAGAAAAGAAATGAATGAAAAATGTATTCTCATCACCTGAGGATGCTGATTGCTCCGTGTAACTGACCTATGTGGGCTACTCCAGTGTTTGCCCACTGTGGAGAGGGCCCTCTTGTGTGGGCCTGTAGTGCAGCTCTCGCACATCCCCTGGGCCCCTCCGGTGTCCCTGGCAGAGTTGTTCAGCAGCAGGCACCTATGCTATCCAGCAGATCTGGAGAAGCAGTTTGGGGCCAGCTTTAGGTAGACATGTTATATGGCAGAAGACACCCAGTTTATAGCCTCTGTCCTGCCTCTCAGCTGCTGCAGGATCACAGGCAGCTTTGTTTGTAAAACTCTTTTACAGCACATAGGACAGAGAAAAACTTTCTCCAGCCAGATGACTGACTGCTAGAGCCATCCTCAGCACACCAGCCATTTCCATGGCCTGCTGTTCTCAGGTGGGCTGAGCCCATGCAGCATGGCAGAGGAAAACTTGAAACGTGAAGGGGCAGAAAGATACGAAGTCATGACTAATTGTGGAGTTTTGTCTCCTTCCTCCTGTGCAGGTCCCAGCCTCAGAAAGGACCGCCTACTCCAGGTTTAAGAGCTCCATTAAGAGGAAGCTGGCGGCCAGGGCTCGGGTGGCGAGCAGCCCTATCGTCACAAGATGGCAGCAGCTGCACGCGAGAAGGGGCGCAGAGGCGCTGTGCCGGGCCTGCTGTGTGACCGATCTTTGTGCCACCGGCGTGCCCCAGCCCACCAGGACACCTGGGAAGGCTCCAGGTCTGACCGGCTGCAAAGGAACATTTTCATATAGAGGATGGCATCATCATGCTGGGACTTCTGAAATAACCAGGAACGGGGAATTAGTGTAAAGTGTGGGTTAGTGTTCCCCCGGGTCCCAGTTGTCAGGGGCTCTGGGTATGGCAGTGTGCAGCAGCAGCAGTCTGTGCAGGCCTTCACAGGCAGGGCAAGCTCGGGGCCAGCACCCTTGCAGGAGTACACTGCTGTCGTGAGTGGAAAGCTGGGCACAAGGTTCCTGTTACCAGCGCGCAGATATCAAGTCATACAGGCAGCTGCCATCAAAGGTGAGGTGAAAGGAAAGAGAGAAAAGAAAGTCTCATCCCCAACCAATTTGGGGTCTTTTTGCAGATCAGTCTTTTCTCCTCTATGAAGGGGCTGCAATGGACTGGTCTGAAGTTGCACTGAGCTGTAACAGTGCACAGGGTTTGTTGCTGCATTTTCATATCTAGAATAGTTAACAGTAACTGACAGGAGAGCAGGAGAATTTGTACGGGCCTCTCCCCTTCATCTTGACTTCTTTTCCTTAACGCACAGCTACCGCAGGCCAGGCCATAACTGCAGAACTTGGACCAGTCTGCATGCCTGGATGTGGTATAGTGTACGCTCACTGAAGGCAAAGCTTGCCCTCTGTCATTGTTTCTCCTTCAATGTGTAAGGCGCAGGTATTAACAAAGGGATGGTGAGCAAGGGACACTCACACTCAACTCACCTAAGGGAGAGACTTATTTGAGGGCCATTCAGAGCACAGATCAAACTTTCAGACTCCAACTTGATCTGGAGAAGAATTGACTCTAGGGGAGGCTGTTTCTCTCCATCAACAACAGAGGAAGCTGAGGAAAGGTGAAATGAGCCACTGAACTCACTCACTCTTACTTCCAGCAGTGCTAGGGGAAAATGGGGAAGGGTTTACAAGCTGCACGTAGAAGAAAAGCTTCCTGGAAAATCTAAGGAACTAGACAAGGCTCATTTCTTGATTAGTAATTGAAATCTTTAGAGGGCAAATAAAAGATGCTGCGTATTGTTCAGAGATGTGTTGTTACAATGCTATGGCTGTTAGAAAATGCAATTCTATCTTCTGCTGAGCAGAATACCAGAGCTGTTCAACAATACATGCCCAGCTCTAGGAAACAAAACCAAGGTGAAATCTTCCCTACTTAAATTTCTAGAACAGAAAGTCCTGCATGCTGTCTCTACTAGCAGTGGTGAAAAAACGTATGGTTCTGGGAAGTCGGATATTGTTTCCTATGGAGTAGGATCCTGTGTAACCAGTCAATAAATCTAGGGCTGGATATCAGCTGCAATAGTAATGATCAAGCTGACCTTTTTTTAGACATCTCTTTTAGATAAGATGAATAGCTCTGTAGAAATGTCTCTTTCTCTTCACTGACAAAAAAAGGAAAGCAGGATGACTAGTTCAAATGTTGGTGTTTGCATTGTTCCACTTAGTGTGTCACATCTGCTTTTGGAGTACTGCTACTGAAATCAGTGCTATTCTGAAAAGTACTTGACAAACATCCCTGTGTATGGTTTTTATAGGTATTGTTTCCATAAAAATTGTTTTCCAGTGATACCTTTGGTGCCTAAGAAACTCTCCATGAAAACTGTTGTGACTCTACTGAACAATCATGCTGCAGCAGGCTTGGAAGGGAGGAATAACAGGAGAGATGAAATGGAAAAGAAACAGGTGAGTAATGCAACATTCAAATGCACAGGTAGGGAATTTGCTTTCCTGAGGTGTTCTTTTTACCTTATCTTTGGCTTGGAATCTGTTAAGTGGATACTACCTCATTGACATGGAGAACAGTAACAAGAGGAAGTCCATTTAGGAAATGTCTTCTAGAGAAATGTCAGGAGAAATTGCTTTGTCATTTATTTGATTCAGCTTCTCTCTCCTACCTCCAGGGTGTCATCCTTGCAAACTAAAATAGAAACTAAGCTAATGAAGCCCTGAAGATAATGTTTTTTACCTCTGAGGGAAAACATATATTGCAAAAACAAACAAACCAACCAACCAACCCCAAACCAAAGCAAAAAAACACATGAAAAGCATGAATGACTCAGTTTCCACTTGCTTTAATAACCACTATGTGTGAAAAAGATAATTTCTTTATCTGTACTGGATGTAGCTGTTCATTTTGTCACGTAGACAGAGTGAGGTGCTATGAAAAATTTGCCAAAAAGTAGCTTTCTGAAAATAAAATTTTTTTTTTCATGGCAATAGGTCAGATTCTTGGCCAAGGATGAAAGAACACATGGCATCTGCCTAACATGCAAAACAGACTTGAGATCACTTCCCATTTAGGTGTTGTTTTTTAATGATGTATATTTTATTCCTTCATTTTTCCTAGTGGACACTGAGACACACCATTTTTTTTTCTTTTCAGGCATTATCCATTGCTTTTTAGTCATCTTAAATAAACCTATGCTCCAGTGACCCACCTGTTTCTGTTTACTAACTTCTTGAAAATTAACTTCTCTGAAGCATGGTGATACTTGCCTGTATTAGTAAAAGTTATTACCATAACATTACACTCAAAAACACCTCTCTGTTTTAGTGCTAAGTGTGACTGTTCATATATTAAGTTGTAAACTCTTAGTCAGTGACCACGCTTTTTCTTGTGCTCTCTTTTCCTTGATTGCACTAGTTGCAAGGTCAGTACTGAAGATGTTGATAGCTGTTTTCACATGATTACTCTTTTGCTCATAACTGTTGAGTAAGGATGCATACTCAGTGTTCTTGTTTCTAGTGGTTTATAATCCTTAATTAATGTTACAGAAATTTCTGTGAGGATATCAAGCTCAACCTGCAGTAAAGGAAGTAGTGTCAGGACAGGTGGGCTAACAGGCTTGTTGATTGATATCTTGTAATAATTGTATTCTTGAAGGTCATTGGATGTTGCAAAAAGACCATGCTTTTACATCATTCTGGGAAACCACTTTCTCAGGGCAATCAATTTCCTTTCTAAATAAACAAAATAGTCTGGAAAATCCTCCTTTCAACAACAGTGCTTTATTCCTTCCTGCCCCCTTACACAGTCTGGAGAATTTGTGAATTTTAGAATTGTTAAAATACACAACTCAGTGGGGTTAGTAAGCTTAGCTGAATCTACCACACAAGAGAAATTTAATAAAACTTTTGTGAGATTGTAAGAACTTTCTGTGAAGTAATGTATGTAAAACATTCTTCCTTCCTTAAAATGTAATGTCTTTTAAAAGATGAGTACATGTCATTGTCTTCACTTTTAGTCATAGTCATAGAATGGTTTGAGTTGGAAGTGACCTTTAAAGGTCATATAGTCCAAACCCCCTGCAATGAGCAGGGACATCTGCAACTAGATCAGATTGCTCAGAGCCCCGTCCAAGCTGACCTGGAATGTTTCCAGGGGTGAGGCATCTACCACCTCTCTGGGCAGCCTGTGCCAGTATTTCACCACCCTCATTATGAAAAGTTTCTTCCTTATGTCTAGTCCAAAAACTGCTTTTAGTTTAAAACCATAACCCCTTATCTGATTGCAATAGGACCTGCTAACAAGTCTGTGCCCATCTTTCTTATTGTCCCCCTTTAAGTACTGGAAGGCTGCAAGAAGGTCTCCCTGGAGCCTTCTCTTCTCCAAGCTGAACAACAGAAACTCTCTCGGCCTTTCCTCATAGGATAGGTGTTCCATCCCTCTGACCATTTTTATGGCCCTCCTCTGGACCTGCTCCAACAGGTCCATGTCTTTCCTGTGCTGAGGGCTCCAGAGCTGGATGCAGGACTCCAGGCGGGGTCTCAGCAGAGCGGAGCAGAGGAGCAGAATCACCTCCCTCAACCTACTGGCCATGCTGCTTTGGATGCAGCCCTGGATACAGTTGGCCTTCTGGGCTACAAGTGTACGTTGCTGGCTCATGTCCAGCTTTTCATCCTTCGGTACCCCCAAGTCCTTCTTGGCAGGGCTGCTCTCAACCCCTTCATCCCCCAGCCTGTCTTGATACTGGGGGTTGCTCTGATGCAAGTGCAGGACCCTGCCCTTGGCCTTATTGAACCTCATGAGGTTCATATGGG